GGGGGGGGGGGGGTTAGTTTTGAGGATAAAGGATCGGGTCGAAAAATGTGTTTTGCTCTCAGTTTTGAAGAAAGAGGAGCTCATCGACATAATAAGGGCTATTAGGTGCAAGGAGGGAGCAAGACAGAGAGACGGAAACAACAGAGAGAACGTACAGAAATAGGACGTAGTAGCGGAGATAGCCTCAGTATGTAGGTTACCTGTCAAAGTGCGTGCGGGCCTGTATAGAATCTATTATGATTGTGTTTAATTTTTGTTTGAAACGTAGGTTTCCACGTTCTCGATCTTTTTTTTGAACGGTGATTGTTGGAGAAGTTGGTTTGAGGCTCTTCGCCCACTTGGTTTGGTTGGACTTTGACATAGACTTTGAGTAAAGAGACTCTTGATTTTGAGACGTATGCGTCAATAAGAGATTACAACTACAGCATGTCTAAAGCTAACGTCCTAATAGAGACGTCCTCTCTACATCATTATAGCGTTAATAAGGGCGTTAAACACATAAAGGTGGGCTCCCGTGGCCTGGAGGTTAAAGTGTTCGCCTTTCATTCAATAGGTACCGAGTTCGAATCCTGATAGCGACGGAACCTTTTCTTTTCTAAAATTGTCTCTTTTCACCTCCTTTCCTGCTTTAGAAATGTTCTGTAATCTGCTTTCGTCTCCATTTTCTGTCCCCTCCCCCCTCCCCATTGCCCCCCTCATCCTGGCTCCTGACAGTTTCTGTAGCCTTTCTATTGCTACCCTGTCTTTCAGCCACACTCCTATTCTTATAGCAGGAAATATCTACACCTAGCCTTTTCGCACAAGGCCGAAAAAACTCGGAGGTTCCGTGTGCAAGTTGCGCACGATAAAGATCCCTTGGTGGTCCAAAATTGATAAGAGTAGGCTCCAGCCGCCCCCAGGGCAAAATCCAAAATTTCCTACCAATTGAAAATGTTTAATGTGTGCCGCGCGCAAGTTTGACCTTAAGTAATTTAGTTGCGAGGGCCGTAAAACACGTATTTAAAAAATATTTAAACAGTTACAAATTATAGGGACGATACATCATTGCCATGTCGATAGTGGTCCCTTAAGAAGCATAATAATAATAATAATAATAATAATAATAATAATAATAATAATAATAATAATAATAATAATAATGATGATGATGATGATGATGATGATGATGATGATAATGATAATAATAATAATAATAATAATAATAATAATAATAATAATAATAATAATAATAATAATAATAATAATAATAATAATAATAATAATCATAGTAATAATAGTAATAATAATAATTGCATTTATATAGCGCATATCCATGCTCAAGAGCATGCTCTATGCGCTTTACAAATATTATTACTCCAGCAGACCCTCTGAGAACTCTCAGAAACATATTCGGTTTCCTCGGAAGCATACAGTGCAAGCTGCGGATTTCACGCGCTCAAACACTATCAATCTGACGAGATCGTTCAATGTCTATAGCCGGGTACAAATTTCCACCTGGGTGAAGTGAGGAAAATTTGTGCAAAGTGCCTTTCCCAAGGACACAACGTCGGGCCCTTGACGGGATTCGAACCTACGACCTTACTGTTGCGAGTCCGAGAGCTTAACCACTAAGCCACCGACGCCACCCTATTGCGCTTGGGAGCCAATGATAAATGGTCAAGTCAGTTTGCACGCTGATCGAGACGTGCATAATTACGATGCTGATGGGTTAATGTGTTGATCGTTGACAGACAAATGGCACCTGGTCTGTTTGTGTTACGTCCTCTCCGGGGTTTGTTTATCAAAGAATGGATACACAGTGTAGTTCCGTCAGTTGTGTGCTTTTCTTTGTGTGTGTGTGTGTGTGTGTGTGTGTGTGTGTGTGTGTGTGTGTGTGTGTGTGTGTGTGTGTGTGTGTGTGTATGTGTATGTGTAGGTGTATATATCCATATATATATATATATATATATATATATATATATATATATATATATATATATATATATATATATATCTCACATAATATTATATACACTATAGACAGAGAGGGAGACAGAAGGGATATATATATATATATATATGAGAGAGAGAGAGAGAGAGAGAGAGAGAGAGAGAGAGAGAGAGAGAGAGAGAGAGAGAGAGAGAGAGAGAGAGAGACATAGAGAGAGAGAGAA